GGGTCTGCCCTGCTCCTTCTCCTGTGGCCCCGGGTCCCTCAGGCTGTTTCTGTCCTCTCGTCCCCCCAGAGCTCCAGCCCTACGAGAACCTGGATAATTACTGCATGATCAAGGAGACTCTGCTGGCAGAAGATGCAGGTAGGAGATGGAGTGCCCTGCCTGTGTTCCCACACATGGCAGGGACGGGGGGGAGAGGGGCAGGGGGGCGAAGCTGCCGATGGCATGCAGCAGCCTCTGCCCTGGCTGCCCTTGGTCTCCACAGGTAAAGGTGGCCAGGCTGGAGAGGCTCTGCCCCAGCCCTCGCCTGTCCTGGAGTCCTCAGGAGACAGTCAGAGCAGGGAGGGAGAGGAGAAGATGGGGCAGACGTCCAAAGCTCAGTGCTGATGGCAACTCCCATAGCTCCTTCTTGAGGCTTGGTCCTCCACCACTGGAAGCAGGACCTCATATAGCTTGTGCTCCCTCCTCAAATTTACTCACTCATCGAGCTCCAGCATCCTCTGTCACAGAGCGGGAGCAGCCAAGGCCTGGGATGACCTGACTGTGCCAGCAAGGATGTGTTCTGGTGGTCTTGCACTGCTGTGGCAAAGCCATCTCACCCGCATCCTGGTGCCTGCGACTGCTCTGAGACCGAAGCAGCTCGCTGGGTCCCAGCCCCTCTTTCCCCACTCTGTGACCCCATATCCTTCTAGACCCAGGCCTCTGCTTGGGTTTGGCCCAGCCTTGCTGCCCTCGCAGCTGTGCTACTGTGTCCGAACAACCAATAAATTGTTCTGGTTTGCAGGGGCTGCCTGCCCAACAACAGCTCCCGCCTTGTCGTGGTTCCTCCCTGTTTTGTATGTGAAAGCCCTGTCCCTATGAATCTTCATGGAGGGGGTTGGGCCAGGCTTTTCCAGACCCTGGCATCCCTGAGGAAGCACACCTGAGAAGCTGCGTGCTCCCAGCACAGTGCTTCAGGTTTCTGCTTTCTCTCCTCCCCATCTTACAAGTAGCCCGGTCTTAACCAGGCCTAGCTGGACCTCTGTGTCGGTCTGTGACCCCCTCTGTGGGTGTTGGTGCTCGTCTCCCATTTTGTGAGGTGCAGGTGGCCCTGGCCCTCTTGGGAAATCCCCATCCCGCAGCCTTTGGGATCTGCTGGACCTCAGTGGCCGCTGCTGCTGTCCCGGAGCAGCCTCCAGCAGCCACCGCCTCTCCCGCACTGCGGGGGACGGTGCCCCGGGACCCCCGCCCCCAGCCTCTCCCGCACTGCGGGTGCCGGTGCCCGGTGCAGCCTGAAGGTTGAGGGGCAGCTCCTCCTTCGTGAGGAGCACACTGCTGGAAGGTGGGGCAATCAACCAGTCTCTTCTCCAGCCTTTTTGTTTTCAGCCTGGGTTGATCTGCCTGTGCCAGTAAGGACATGTTTTGACAGTGCTTCATATGAGCTGTGTGACTGTCACTGTGGTACCTGCAACTGGCCCCTGGGACCAGAGCCCCTCCTTCCTTGGGCTCTCGTTGGCATGACCTGTATGCCTTTTGGAGGTGCTCTCGATGGGTATGGGGCAGTGAGGGGAAGAGGGAGCTTAACCCCATGTGGCTGCTGCTGGTTGAGAAAGGGGAACGTGCGGGCTTGGGATATGGGGAAACAGAGGGCTGGCTTGTGCTCCTGCCACCTCCTGCGTTGCCCCACTCCATATCCCCACATCCAGTCAGAGCCTGGGCTGTTGGCCTCATGACTCTGCCTGCTCTGTCCGGACAACCAAAAAAGTCTTGCGGTTTGGAGGGGGCTGCCCTCCCTCCATCCCTGCCCTCCCCCGGGTCCTGCCTGGTTCCCTCATTGCCCTTCTGGGGTGACGTTCCCTGTAGGGTGCTGAGATAACCGCACCTTGTTGAGGGGGGGCATGAGCAGGGCTGCTGTGGCCTGGAGCTGTGGCTGAAGGCC